GGGGGGGCAGAGGGGCAGACGGGGCGCGGGGCGGATGCCTGGCACCGTTGTCCTTGCCCGGGGTCCCAGGCTGGCCATGGGGCAGAGCAGGAGCCTGTGGTGGGGGGCAGAGCTCGCGGGGGGAGCAGGGGGGCTGGAGCCCACAGGGTCTCGGAGGCAGTGGGGCCACATGGGCAGTCCTGGGCGGAATGGGGCACCCTTGGGGGGCTGGAACAGCAAAGGGGTCTTCCAAGTGGCTGCCCCATGGCCGTAGGGCGCAGCACCGAGCTGGTGGGTCCGTGGCACAGGGTGGGTGCAGGGCAGGGGGGCTGGGCGGGTGCAGAGGTGGGTAGATCCTGCCCCCCAACCCCCTCCACTCACTCTTCTCCTGGGCCTGCCGCAGAAAGTCCTTGGAGCGCTTCCTGCGGGGGGCATCCTGGCCGCAGCCGTGCCCTGGGGGTCCAAAAACCGAGGGGGGGGTAAGACTGGGGCAGGTCACAGCCCCTGAGCCCCCTCCTGGCCCCCATGTGACCCCCGCCCCTCCCCAGGTCCTCCCCCTGCCCCCGTCTCACCGCTCCGCAGCCGGCTCTCCAGCTCCCCCACGCGCAGGGCCAGGCCGGCGTCTTCGAAGACCCCCAGGGCGTCGGCCCCACTGCCCGGCGAGCAGCCCAGGTCGTAGCTGTCCATGGCCGCGAACACCTGGGGGATGGGGGCAGAGAAGACGGGGGATGGATGGGGGGAGAGAAGGTGGGGGGATGGGGAGTCTGGGGGGCAGAAGCTGGGGGATGGATGGGGGGAGAGAAGGTGGGGGGATGGGGGGTCTGGGGGGCAGAAGCCGGGGGATATGGGGCCGGGGGCCAGAAGCCGGGGGACGGATGGGGGGAGAGACGCCGGGGGATGTGGGGCCGGGGGGGCAGACAGCAGGGAAGGTTAATTGTCCTGCCAGGCCCCAGGAGGAACACATGGCCAGCGTCCATCGCCCTTGGCCACGCCCGTCATGGCCCCATTCTCTGGCCATTGACCGTTCAGGGTCATAGGTCACCAGCGGGGTCGTGGGTCAAACCCAAGTCCTGGGGGTGAGTCTGGGGCCAAGGACCCTTTGAATGGAGGAGGCCGTGATTGGCCAGACATGGGCAAAGGCCCATTTGGGAGGTCAGAGGTCAAACCCAAGGGGCCGATGGCCATCCACGCCTAATGGGTTGACCGTTCAAAGGTCGTAGGTCAAGGCAGAGAGGTCATAGGTCAAGCCCAAGGAGGCTAATGGCCCGGGGATGACCGTTGGCTCTCCATGGGTTGACCATGGAAGGTCCCATCTCAAGGCTGGGGGTCGTAGGCCAAGCCCCGGGCTGGGGGTGACTCTAGGGGGCGATGGCCGGACAGGGAGGTCAGGGGTCGGGGGTCAGAGCGGGGGGGCTCAGCCGTACCTTGGCGGGCGTGAGGCGGTGCCGGCGGTTGACGATGTAGACGGCCGAGTCGACGGCCACCAGGGAGACGGAGGCGCGGGAGTCGGTGGCCACCGTGAACTTGAGCGTGGTGTGGGGGCGGAGCTCCCAGCTGTCCGAGTCTAGCCGCAGCTCCAGCTGGGGGGACGCGAGTCAGGGGGACCCCACACCCTGCCCCACACCCCGCCCCACACACCCCACCCAGCCCCGTTCTCCACCTCACCTACCCCACAAACCCCCTTGCACCACACAGAACTCCTGCACCAAACCCCGCCCCACACCCCGCCTCAGCCACCCCCCCCAGCCCCGTTCTCCACCTCACCTACCCCACAAACCCCCTTGCACCCCACAGAACTCCTGCACCAAACCCCGCCCCACAACATACCCTGCAGCAACCCCCGCACCCCACA